TCAGCAGGCCCCAACCTTTGCAACTTGGTGGCCCAGCTTGGGGGGGAGAACTGGGCTGCACAAGCGATGGGCCCGCACACACACAGAACTTGGTTGCAAGCTGCGCATGCGTGCCGCATGTGCAAGTTGAGCTGCACATGCATGCCAGCCAGTCTGCCATTCGCGCAGCCTGGTTGCGAATAGGCCATGGCTTGGTTGTGGGCTGTGGCCTAGGGGTTGGGGACCCGTGCATTGCTGTTGTGCTACACGAGCTGAGCCAATTTACCACTTAATATTAAAGCCTGTGCTGGCTTTCTCCACCGCGTGGTATTGTGTATGGAGGCGACTCTGAGCCTGTTGAGAAGTGGGGCCCCCAAGCCACTGGTCGTAGAGGTCGCTGATGGTTTCATTCGTCTCGGGGTCTTCTGGCTGGGCCGTTTCATAGAGCCCCTCCACACGATGGAGCAGATCTTTGCTGGATTCTCCTTCCGCTCTGATCTGCCCCCCTCCATTTAAACACCCTGGAAAATAAGGATTTGCAGCTGAAGGCGAGGAAAGCGAGGGAGCACTTAGCTTAAAACTGGGAGTTGCTAACTTGAGGGGGTGAGCTGGAGGAGGTTGGACTTTTGGCAGTGGGCTGTTAAGTTGGAAGTACAGGTAAATCCTCAACTTACAACCATAATTGAGCCCAAAATTTATGTGAAGTGAGACATTTGTTCAGTGAGTTTTGGCTCATTTTACGACCTTTTTTTGCCTCAGTTGTTAAGTGAATCACTTCAGTTAATAAGTTAGTAACACGGTTGGTAAGCAAATCCAGCTTCCCCGTTGACTTTGCTTGTCAGAAGGCTGCAAAAAAGGGGATCAAATGCACTGTCTTAAGTGTCTCGGGACACTGCAACTGTCTTAAATATGAGTCAGTTGCCGAGCACCTGAAATTTGATCATGTGAGCATTGTGGATGCTCCAAAAGTCGTAACGATGAAAAATGGTCATAAATTGCTTTTTTCAGTGCCGTTGTAACTTTGAACACTCACTAAAAGAACTGTTGTAAGCCCAGAGCTACCTGTATGGAGCTACTCTAGGTAAACAATGGGGAAAGGAAGGGGTGGACTACTCACAAAATGTGGATATGTGGGAGACTGCCTGTGACCCCGACTTATCTGGGTGGATGGTGGGGGTAACCATCTAAACCCAGACCTAAAAAGCCAAAATGCCCACCAATTTCATTTTCTAAGCAAGTTTCCAAGACCTATTTGTGAAGCAAAGGAATTCTTGAGAACAGAACATAGGCTGGTGGCCTGCCTTTTGCTTTGCAGTGTCCTATTGGCAAGGGGAATGTAGCAGGCTGCCATGGCACCTACGCAGCTCTCACCAGGCCGAGCCTTTCCTCTCTCGAAAGAATTCCTGAAATAGTCCCAGGGAGCGCTAAGGCCACCATATCATCAGGAAGGCATTTGTCTCTCCCCTTCCAGCCATTTGCCACCTCAAACCTGTAGCCATCCTCACCTGAGGGACAAGCCATCACCTCGACATAATGGTAGGGCAGCTTTCCGCGTTTCAGTTTCTGCACGAAGTTTTGGATGTTCCGAAATCCATACGCCAGGGCGAAGTGCAGCAGAGTCTGGCCATCCTTCTCCAGCGTCACCTCTTGAAAATCCTTGTTTCTGAAGAGGATGAAGATTAGAGAGCATAGGGGATTGACAGCCAAAGCTTTTCCTCCAGGCTCGTGAGGAGAGAAACGCAAGTTGGGCTTCGGCAGCATCACAGATCGGGGGGAAATAAGAAATGTATCCTCAGTCATTCAGGTCATGGTTGTCCCAAAGATGCTTTTTTTTTTCCCCCAAAAGGCAACTGGACTTTATTTTTCCTTGAAGATGTTTTGCTTCCGATCCAAGAAAGTTCTTCAGTTCTCACTGAAGAAGCTTCTTGGATGAGAAGCAAAACGTCTTCAAGGAAAAACAAACTCCACTTGCCTTTTGAAAAAACAACAACAACACACCCCTTTCTTGCTGCTTGAAGAACTGAGCAATTCCTGGCATTTCTTTGGAACTGCACTATAGCAAGATTCAAGCACTTACAGGCAGCAACTACTCAATCTAAGGGTTTAACAGCCTTTTAGTTGAGGGGCTCTACTTTACATAGAAGGGGTGAAAAACCCCAGTGGGGCCAGGCAGTGATGGAAAGAGCACTGGTAACAGAGGCAAGGCCAACCTTTTTCCTCCTAGGCTTGGGGGAAGTAGTTCCTCTTAAAAAACAACAACTATGCAGAACCATTAGGTCAGGGGTCTCCAACCTTGGCAACTTTAAGCCTGGAGGACTTCAACTCCCAGAATTCCCCAGCCAGCTTTGCTGGCTGGGGAATTCTGGCAGTTGAAGTCC